AGCAAGGTAGATGCACAGAAGAAAAGAACTACACTATCAGGGTTCACCTGATGGATGCCATGCTCCGGTCATGACAAGACTGAAATTTGAGGTTAAAATACGAGGCCCTCTGAAGATCCTCACCAAATAATCCCCAGGTACATAGGTTGCAAACTTTAAGGAGGTATATTCACTCTCAAGTGCCAGCCTGTACTTGCACAACCCTGAGAGTAAGTGCCTCCTTATATCTGAACCCTAGCCACCTGCCTTGTTTCACCTTAACCCTGGAACTGACTCAGATATCACTTCTCTGAGAAGGCTTCCATGTTTATTCTCCCCATCATCCTGTCCCCCAACACGTATACACACCAGTCTGAATTAGGGGCTACCATGTGCTGACCTCTACCGTAGTTCTTATCACATTGTGTTGCTATTGTCTATTTACTTATCTGCCTCCTTTAATGGACTATGAGCACCTTGAGGGAAGTAAGGTGTGTTCTATGTCTCTGAATCCCTTATTTATGTCATTTAGTGGACACGCTCTACCTATTTACTAATGAATAAAAATACATATAAGGGATCCTGAGAAAAGAGTAAGCTGGCCAGGTGCGGTGGTTCATGCCTGTAATCCTAGCACTTTGTGAGGCCAGGGCAGGTGGATCACCTGAGGTCAGGAGTTCGAGGCCAGCCGGGCCAACATGGTGAAACCCGGTCTCTACTAAAAATAAAAAAGTAGCCAGGCATAGTGACACATGCCTGTAATCCCAGCTACTCGGGAGGCCAAGGCAGGAGAATCTCTTGAACCTGGGAGGCAGAGGTTGCGGTGGGTCAAGATCACGCCACTGCACTCCAGCCTGGGTGACAAGAGTGAGACTCCATCACAAAAAAAAAAAAAAAAAAAAAAAAAGTAAGCAGATTCTCTTAAGCCTATGTGGAAAACGAGCTTCTTTCTAGTTCATGGTGCTATGGTGACATTGCAAGCCATTTGCCTATGCTAAAACCTGTATGATTGGGAAGTCCATGAGGACAAGCTTGATAGCAGATGCTCAATAAAATGTTATTGAATGAATCAATTGGGCCTTAGGAGATTCAGGTTCTAGTGGCAAATCTGGTACTATGTAGCTGTGTGGGAACTTCAACAATCACGTCCCTACCTCTGGATCTCGGTTTCCCCATCTGTTGAATTGAGGGATAAACTTGCTAATATTCTGTCTCTCTTTATCTCATTAGTTTATATAAAGTACTTACAATGACACCTGCTATTTGGGAGCACTCTAAAAGTGTCTGCTTCTCTCGTTTAATCTACAAATCCCATTTTTCAAGCAAATTCTTACATGAAAGCCCAATATAAACCGCTGTTTCATTTGATCATGAAAGATGGGAGACACTGAAGATCCAAGGAGGACAGTTTGGAAAAGTTTGAGATCTGTCCTGGGGTTACAAAATGCTCGCTGATGTTATAAAGACTATGTAAAAATCAAGGCCCTGGGCTCTGCTATAGAGATTCTGATTCTTTAGGTATAAGGTAGGTCCTGTGACGGGATAAAAAAGATCCTCAGGTGACTTGGATATGAAGTTATATGAGAAATAATGAACTAAATACTATTTAAGGTCCTTGCCAACACGGACATTTTACAATCCTACATTTTCCTTTGGTTAATTTGGGAAATATATAATTTCAAACCAACACTGTTTTCCACAAATTACCTTCTACAATGTTCCTAGTAGAGTCAATAACAATGCATTATTGAGCACCAGCTATATGCCAGACACTGAGCTAAATGATTTACAGACACTCTCTGATATAAGTATTATCTGATTTGCTCCTCATGACCTTGTGAGGTGGATTAATACTCCCCCACTATACTGATGAGGGAAACAGATGCTCAACAAGCTCAATTAATGTTGCCAAGATCCCATAGCTAACAAATAAAACTCAAATCTAAGGAGACCCAAGACTTCTTAGACACCTGGGATTTCCTTTGGTTACAGAGACATAGAGGTAAAGACAAGGCAATGCCAATTGAAGGCATAGATATCTAACTCTAAAGCAGTGAAAGAAGTCATGGTCAGATCAATGACACACGGCCTCCCACTTGTCCCTGTTAGACATAAACTATTCACGGTAAGTCCTAGAGCAGATCATCAGGGGCAGGAACTCTTCAGAATCCTCAGGCTTTCTCCATGAGCTCTAGGAAGCACTGTCATTTCTGCTAAATAACGAGTACCTACAATGAGGTCAATGCTACTGAGTGACCTTTTGGAGCCAATAATGAAAAATTTTTAATGAGAAGGCCCTCTGCACATATAATGTGAAATCCAAAAGGGTATCACAATTCCATCCAAAGTGGCTTTAAGCAATTTTTTTTCCAGTGAAACAAGATGTGTTGACTCAGGGCCAGCAGTATTGGCAATAGGAGGGCATGGCACATTCTGCATTCTCAGCTTCCAAAGCAACTGCTCTTTCCTAACAATAGCCTCCCAGTAGGGTCCCCAAGACTTTTTCTCAAAACCTCCAGAGAGCCTCAGCCTCAGCTGTTTGAGTACTGGCTCTTCCTCTCACTACCACCACAATTCCCAGCTTTCAAAATAAGATTCAACGAGGACAATGACCATGACAGGCCAATGAATTTTCAAAACCTCTCTTAAGTCCTCAATAACGAAAGTCAGTTCATTAAGTCAGCATCCCTAAAAGCAGTGGTCAAATGATAAGTAGGAGCTTCTGAAATTGGCAGGCAAATTATCACTGAGTTAAAGAGTTATTATAAATCATACATTAAGCGGCAAAAAGGTCGGGCACTGTGGCTCATGCCTGTAATCTCAACACTTTGGAGGCCAAGGTGGGTTGGATCACTTGAGGTCAGGTGTTTGAGACCAGCCTGGCCAACATGATGAAACCATGTCTCTATTAAAAATACAAGAGTTAGCCAGGCATGGTGGCGAGTGCTTGTAATCCCAGCTACTCGGGAGGCTCAGGCAGGAGAATCAGTTGAACTCAGGAGGCAGAGGCTGCAGTGAGCACCCTGATCTCCAGCCTAGGGGACAGAGCGAGACTCCATCTAAAAAAAAAAAAAAGACCGAGTGTGGTGGCTGATGCCTGTAATCACAGAGCTTTGGGAGACCAAGGTGGTGGGAGGATAGCTTGAGCCCAGGAGTTCAAGACCAGTCTGGGTAAACAGAGCAAGACCCTGTCTTTCTTTCTTTTTTAAAAAAGCAGCAAAGATGTCGTAATCAGCAGCTCTGATGGAGTCCCACAGACCCCCACAGGAACCTGGCATCACCAAGGAGTCATTTTTCTTTTGTTTATAAGTCATTATGCTCAGGCTCACACACCTTTTTTTCTGCATAGCACTCATTGACATTTGCAGTGAGGTTCATGGGGTTAAGAGAATTAAGGCTCAAAGTTCAACATAAAGGAAGACATGAGAAAAGTCTCAGATCTGTTGGTGGCTTTGGTGTAAATGGGCACCTGTTCAAAATCAGACCCTCATACCAGAAAAAGGAACCATTTATGTAATTTCATGTACCATGTATCTCCCAATCTTCCAACTGATAGGCAAGTAGCAGTTATTTTTAAAAAGAAGTACAAAATTATCTTACATTAATAATAATGTTGAAATACCTAACGTTCATTTAAACACTGTGCACACTCGGCATTATCTCATCCCCATTTTACAAGATAAGAAAAATTAACACTTAGAGAGGTGAAGTTACTTGCCAAGGTTACAGAGCTATTAAGATGTAGAGGTAGAGTTCAAACTTGGGTTACTTGATTCCAGAGTCCATAATGTTAACTTTTAAATAAGTCATGCACTTGGACCTGGATAGACTTACTGAAGTAAAATAAACTGGAGTGAATAAGAAAATAATACAAATACAAATATCTGACTCACTAGTTACACAGTCACATTTAACCAGAACGGTCACCAATCTAAATCTAAAAAATGTTCACTGAAATATTACTTATAATAGTAAAAAATCGAAATAAGCTATATTTCCAAGAATAGCTAAATATTAAATGAAGTATAGCTCTCGTAATAATGAAATTTGAATGTATCCATTATTCATTTACCAACATTTCACTGAACATCTACTATATGTCGGGCACTCCTTTATGTGCTGGGAAAACACATAAATGTTTTTCCCATAATGGTCACTAACTACTCAGTGCTACTCTTGTGCCACAAAATACCCATAGAAAATGCTTAATAAATGAATATGGGTATATTCCAATAATGTGCTGGGAAAACTCATAAATGTTTTTCACATAATGGTCACTAACTACTCAGTGCTACTCTTGTGCCACAAAATACCCATAGAAAATGCTTAATAAATGAATATGGGTATATTCCAATAAAACTTTATTTACAAAAGCAGGTGGTGAGCTGGAATGGGCCCAGGGGTTTGTTAACCACTCCTCTTTGCCTTCATAACAAATAATACAAACTTCATTTGACTTCTACTATATAACCTCCTCTTTTTAACATCTTTGATAGATATTAACCCCATTTTACAGAGGATAAGATGAGACTCAGAGAGAGAAATATCTTGTCCAAGATTATACAACTAAAAGAGTGAGTTTTTAAATCCAGTTCCCAAGAGAGATGCCAAGCAACCTGTTCCTGACAAGTTGTAGACATACAAATGCTAATTTAACACTTTCTAGGGAAATTTGTTCCTTAGAAGAATCTAACTCTGACCATTTTGGGAAATAAACCCAAAAAATCCCCTTTTAATATATTCTTTAGGAAAATATGCTTTAAAGAAAAGGTCGCTTACAGACGGTCTGAGTCAAAAACCTCAGTAGAAGTTTAAGGGTATCTTTTGATTGCTATCGTGTGAAGGGGAAATGGGACTGGCAGGGAAAGTTTCCTTATCCTTCCTAATCAACCTCCCAGGGCCTTGGCATTGGATCACAGTGGATGAACATGTCCAAGTGCTCTGTATCCACAAATCAAAAAGACTACATGGTCTCAGGGTTGCCTCAACAGGTATATGACCATATGTAGCTGAAGACTTACCGATGTTAATTTCATCATCAGTCAGAGTGTCTCCAATGAAATCAAACTGAAATGACTGCAGTGTCTGGGAAAATTTCTGAACAGCAGAGGAATAATCTGCAAAGGAAGGGTAACAAGAAAAATGGTCAATAATGCTATGCTTTGATCTATTTCCTCATCTCTGTAAGAGCAGATAAAAGAAAACCAAAGGTAAGTGCTCTGAGCAGGTTGCAACTAGCATTTAATGAAATAAAACAAAAGATTAGATATGCAGTAGAAGAAAGTTTGAACAACTAAAATCACAAGAAGAAAGGATGGGGCATCTCAGTAAAGTCCTTAAAAGTTGTGGGACATGTTTTTTATCCTCAACACCTCTCCTCTTTGACCTGCTCTACTCAAAGCATGGAAGACATGAAACTACTTAGTTATACTCTTAGGAGGGTCTCCTTACACATTTCCTAAACCCCTATTATGGGCAATACACTAGAAGCTTTCCATTTTATACGTGTGGAGTTCAAAGTCCCAGAGCTGGGTGGCAAAGCTGGAAAGAGAAGCCAAGTGGTCTGTCTGCTTCTCCAGAGCCCTATCCATGATGATACAGATACCACCTGGACATTTTATATGTTAACCAGATGACAGCCTGTGTTAGGATGCTATCTGGAAGACGAAGAGACTTAACTTATTCAGAGTATTTATAAAGAGACCTAACCTAAGAAAGCAATGAATGAAAACAATCAGGGTGACATGGCCAAACAAATGCTTTTATTTTTGGTCAATGATTTTGAATTTTAGAATATATTTTAGTGTATAAGTTGATATAAAATTAAATCATGTTTAGCTATACTTTTGAGAAGTTATCTTTATTGAGACATTTTAAATATGTCCCCACCAAAAGGTCCAACCCAAATTTTGACCCTTGTTGCACTCCAAGAGTGGTTCTAAGGCCAGCAGCATCATCACCTGGGAGGTGGAAGGAAATGCATATTGCCAAGCCCTACCCTAGACTTAATAAATGAGAAATTACACTTTTACACAATCCCCAGGGCATTCATATACTCTTTAACTTTGAGGCGCACTGATATTACCAACTAAGCCAACCTGTTAGACCATATTCTACCAAAGCTTAAGCTTGTTGCTGATTTTTGGCTCCCTTTTCCGATTTCTTCTTTCTCTCCCTAGTTTAATCACCCTTCTCATCCTGAGTTTTCAAACCTATCATATGCATGGACTTACTGAGCCTGAGTATTTGCTCTCAGACCAAGGAAAATGGAGACAAAGCAAGCAATCACGCTGAGTCCTTTTAATGAAAAGCTGTCATAGTTAAGCAAAAATACAACACAATAAGTTCAAGCATTTGGCTAAAACAAATTATATGCCAAAAATTTTATTAGCATTTTATCTTTGTCTTATTTTCAGAAATACTTATTTTCAGAATTTTAAGTCTTAATTTTTTGAACAAATCACTGAAAATAGTAATAATAACAATATTGAGATTTTTACACAGACCAGGTTACCATGGCTTCTCACAATTTTGACAACCTAGAATCACATTTTCCACTACAAATCTAAGCCACATGAATGTGACAAGTGCATGCACACCCTTCAAATCCTTTCACAGTACATCAGCAACGAGAACACAAAACTGGCTCCATATCTGGAAAACAATTGATTTTTTTCTGCTTTCCTTGGCTAGTAGTAAAAAAGGGCAGGCCCAGAATTCCCCATCTGCTCTCTGTTATGCTCAGGGAAATTAAATAAAAACATTTATTGTGTTGCTCTTCCACACCTACTAGTATTTCCTAAATATTATTTGAGCCAAGGAAAGAACAGTTATTAATTATCCTCTTCTTAAAATTATCTCAAAATTTCAGAAACCACAAATACTACAATGTTCAACATTTATAGTATTTTGAAAATAAAGGCATGGAATAAGGAAGAAGTTGCATCTAGTCTCCCTTTTCATTATTTGTACCTATCTCTTCTTTTCTCCAGACTCTGGGCCTTTAAAACACTATATCTACAAAAGGCCTTGAAATTTTATGAGAAACTTTCCACAAACATTTCCATTTACTGTTCCCAACTACATAAAAGTAGGAAATACTGTCCTCACTTTAGAATCAAAAGAACAAATGAAATAATGCACACAAATTCCATTCAAAAATATGAACAAGCAGCCGGGTGTGGTGGCTCACGCCTGTAATCCTAGTACTTTGGGATGCTGAGGCAGGCAGATCACCTGAGGTCAGGAGTTTGAGACCAGCCTGGCCAACTTGGTGAAATCCCATCTTTACTAAAAATACAAAAATTAGCCAGGTGTGGTGGCGGGTGCCTGTAGTCCCATCTACTTGGTGGTTGAGACGGGAGAATCACTTGAACCTGGGAGGTGGAGGTTGCAGTGAGCCGAGATCACGTCACTGAACTCCAGCCTGGGAGCCTAGGTGCCAGAGCAAGACTCCATCTCAAAAAAAAAAAAAAAAAAAAAAGAACAAGCACAAATTCACAGCTCTTCTTGAAACAAGTTCCAGGTTCCCATATATTTGTCCCTTGTGCTGAGAAAAGTCCTGGAAAAGACTCATGTATTTTAGATAAATAAGTGAAGTGGATGACTTCTAGACTACAAAAAATCCATACATAACCTAGAAATGCTTGTCATGTGTGACACATTCAATTCCTTATCATCTTAAAATTCACTACATCACTCCAAACAATGTGAACTCATCATTTTATCCTCCCCATCCCCGTCCACTCTGCCACTATGTCAATATTTTTCAGTCCAGCTTTCAGGGTCCTCTCTCCATCACCTTACTTATGTATGTGTCTTCCACAATTTCTTCACTTCACCTTTCCCTTACACATTATAGAATGTAGTTGGATAGTGCTTTTTAGGCACTTTGAACTTTAAGGGAATGATGTAGAATATGAACAAGATTAATTAATTAGTGTAGACACCTGTTTTTCATCATGATACTTTTCGAGAGTTTCATGAAAATAGAATCATACAAAATAGACTCATTTAGGTCTGCACAATGTTTTAAAATTCATCCATGTTATTGCTTGTATCAGTAATTTACTGTTTTTGTTGCTAAGTAACACTCCATTATGTAAATATACCACAATGTGTTTATTTATCATTTCTTCATGGACATCAGTGTTTATTCCAGTTTTTAACCATTGTGAATAAAGTTTCGATGAAAATTCATGCACAAGCCTCTTCAGGACATACGTTTTCATTTCTCCAATGCATGGGTTACATGGTAAATTGGTAAGTATACATAACCAGAGTGCCACATTTAGCTAAAAAGAAATCAAGAGCCAGGTGTGGTGGCTCATGCCTGTAATCCAAGCACTTTGGGAGGCCAACGCGGGCAGATTACTTGAGGTCAGGAGTTCGAGACCAGCCTGGCCAACATGGTGAAACCCCATCTCTACTAAAAATACAAAAATTAGCCAGGCATGGTGTCATGCACCTGTAGTCCCAGCTACTTGGGAGGCTGAAGCAGGAGAATCGCTTGAACCCGGGAAGCAGAGATTGCAGTGAGCCGAGATCCTGCCACTGCACTCCAGCCTGGGCAACAGAGAGAGACTCTGTCTCAAAAAAAAGAAAAAAGAAAAAGAAAGAAAGAAAGAAAAGAAATTTAAAAAGCAATCACAGTGGGTTGCAGTGGCTCATGCCTTTAATCTCAAAGCATTGGGAGGCCAAGGCAGGAGGATTTATTGAGGTCAGGAGTTTGAGATCAGCCTGTGCAATATAGTGAGACCCTGTCTTCACACACAAAAAAAATTCTTTAAATGAGCTATGCGTGGTGGTGCAAGCCTGTAGTCCTAGCTACTTGAGAGGCTGAGGCGAGAGGATTGATTGAGCCCAGGAGTTCAAGGCTACATTGAGCTATGATCATGCTATTGCACTCCTGCCTGGGTGAAAGTGAGACCCTGTATCTTAAAAATATAAAAATTTTTAAAAAGAAAGCAATCACATTTGCAATAGCTACAAAAAAATAAAATACCTAGGAATAAATTTAACCAAGGAAGTAAAAGATCTACACATGGAAAACTATAAAACACTGAAGAAGGAAAGTGAATAGGATGCACAAAAATAAGGAAAAGACATCCCATGTTCAAGAATTTTAGAAGTTAATATTGTTAAAATGAACATACTACCCAAAACAATCTATACTTCAGTACAATCTCTAGCAAAATGCAACGGGCATTCTTCACAGAAACATCAAAACAAATGCTACAATTTCTCTGGAATCACAAAAGACCCCAAAAGCAGTATATCAAAGAGATATCTACATCATTTTTATTGCAGTACCTATTTACAATGCCAAAATATGGAATCAACCTCAGTGTTCATCAATATATAAATGAATAAAGAAAATGGGTCATGCGCAGTGGCTCACGTCTGTAATCCCAGCACTTTGGGAGGCCAAGGCAGGTGGATCACTTAAGGTCAGGAGTTTGAGACCAGCCTGACCAACATGGTAAAACTCCATCTCTACTAAAAAAATACAAAATTAGCTAGGTGTGATGGTGCTTGCCTGTAATCCCAGCTACTTGAGAGGCTGAGAATGTGTGGTTTAGTTTCAAGAATCACTTGAACACAGTAGACAGAGGTTGTAGTGAGCCGAGATCACACCATTGCACTCCAGCCTGAACAACAAAAGTGAAACTTCATCTCAAAAAAAGAAAGAAAGAAAGAAAGAAAGAAAGAAAGAAAGAAAGAAAGAAAGAAAGAGAAAAAAAATGTAATATATATACACAGTGAAATACTATTCAGCAATTAAAAAGCATGAATCCTGGCATTCATGGCAACATGGATGAGCCTTGAAAACATTATGTTAACTAAAATAAGCCACGGACAAGAAAGATAAATACCACATGCTCTTACTCATATGTGGGAGCTAAAAAAGCTGATCTCATAGAAGTAGAGAATAGAGTAGTGGTTACTAGAGGCTTGGAAGGGTAGGGAGGAGCAGGGGATAAAGAGGAGTTGGTTAGGCCTGTCTCAAAGAAACAAAGAAGAGTTGGTTAATGTATACAAAATTATGGCTAGATAGAAGAAAAAGTTCCACTTTCTATTGCAATGCAGTGTGACTATAGTTAACAATATTTTATTG